TCGGGTCGGAGTGTTAGAATCGACCTGAGTCTGTGATAATTGCTCCTGCACCTTAGCATGTAATTTCTCATGCGATATACCAAAACAATCCGGTCAATACTAACACATTTAAAATGCATTGTTATAAAAATTAAATATACAAATTAACTGCTACTTACAGCCAGATCCCGGTTCTGCGCTTTCTTCACTTCATCAGCGTAATTTGGTCTCCAACTAGTCAGAATACGATCTGCAAAATGCCCGAGTTCTCCCCTTCCCTATTTTATTCACATATATCATTAACTCATAACACATAAATTATACTCAAATTGATAACCTAAGAGCTAATATATTATATACCTCAAGCGCCAATTGATGATAATGCTGGCTGAAGGACCTGGAGCCCCTGTGATGCTCGTAACTGCGGGGCGCATTGCGGTTCCTCCTTGCTATTTCATCTTGTTCCTGCAAAAGAATGTTAAACAGATATAATATAGAATTTCAAACAATAAACGAATATATATACTTCAATAATACCTGAGCTTCAGCCGTGTCCCAATAATCGCAAAGTGCAAAAAAATCAACTCCATCGGCGCGCTCGTCAAGATGCCAGTAACGCTCCCAATCTTCTGTTCTTTGAGTAAAATATTTTTTCTTCAGCTCTGACCGCCACCTCTTGAACGATAGATTGATTTGCGTGAAGCAGTAAGTCCAGACATAAGCGTAATCGTCAAGAAAGAAAAATCGCTTCAGCATACAATGAAAAAGATACAAATCAGTGTGTTAAACAAAATAATATAAACTATAAAATAAATGACTCACACATATATATCGCCAACAAGCCACCAGCGCATCAATCCGCTGCGACTTCCACGTCAAATATATGTTGAAGAAATCATGTCTCCTGGCTAAAGCGGCGAGGAAATTGTTGAAAGAGTTAGCAAATGGCCCGACAGGCACGCCGTTCTGCCATCGGATCACGGCCCTCCGACGAATATCTGGGACGAGGTTCTGTGGCTTGGTACTACTGCGGGCGCGCCTAGTAGGTCGCTCGGTACCTACGAAAAAATGAAATTCAGGCGAAATATAAATCAATCAATATCGATAATACAAATTAAAATATTAACATATAAACTATAAAAATCTATACACACCTTTCAATTCGAGGCATCTACGCCTTGCTTGTTCATACCTCTGCTGTGCGATAAGTCGCAAATCATGATAAGCATCCCAATCCTCCTTCACCTTGGCCGGGTCGTGGGCTCGCTGATCCGGAATAGAATCCGGCGGTAGTGGCGCAGCTTCTACAGCTGCGCTATATGGCTCATATCGGCGCTCCTCCAATACATCTGCAGCCTGAGGAGGCGACGGCGGCATCTCTGCATGCTGGGCAGGATCAACGAGTGTCTCCGCATCAGGTGGAGCATCTCCTCGTCCTGTGTCCTGTGGCGGCCCGTCATGTGTAGCAGCGATGCGGCCTGCGTAGGAAATGTGAAAAAATAATGTTAGGCTCGTATTAATAGTTTATAGAAATGTACAGATATAATAAATAAATAAAAATACCTGACGTAGAGCCATGTGCGTTGCCTCCAGAATGTCTACCAAAAACTCTCTCAAGCGCTCTCTTACGTAATCCTTTTATCATCTATACTTTGAAAACATAATGAGTACCCAACAAAACTATAATACATGACAAAAACTGATACATGATAACCAGTCAAACAGATAATATAAATGCAATACTATAATACATAACACAAACTGATACATGATAACCAGTCAAACAGATAATATAAAGGCAATACTATAATACATGACAAAAACTGATACATGATAACCAGTCAAACAGATAATATAAAGGCAATACTATAATACATGACAAAAACTGATACATGATAACCAGTCAAACAGATAATATAAAGGCAATACTATAATACATGACAAAAACTGATACATGATAACCAGTCAAACAGATAATATAAAGGCAATACTATAATACATGACAAAAACTGATACATGATAACCAGTCAAACAGATAATATAAAGGCAATACTATACTACATAACACAAACTGATACATGTCCTTATGATGATGTTGAGGCTCTACTCTGCGACCGTGTGCGGTTAGCCTGCGACCGTGTGCGTGCAGACAAAAGGACTGTCCTTATAGTTTTATCGACTCTACCGTGGACTCGTTTTTTGATTTTACGCCTTGGCTCACATATAATCGCAGGTACATCAGGGCACGCCAGTGCAATTTCATCCACCAGATTATTTTGTGTCAAGGAAAACTCAGCAACTGTTTCGTCGTCCAAGATAACATCTTCATGATCTTCGTCAGACACGGCTTCATGAATGTAGGATCTAGGCGGATTCTTAAGGACAACCCATTCGTCATTTTTCATTATATCTTTGACATAAAAGCACTGTTTTGCGTGAGCAGCTAACATGTACTTTTCAGTCTGATATATTTCCTTGTTAAGATTAACGAGTGTGTAACCGTAGTCATCCTTCGCCTTTTTCAGCTCACTCCAACGAACCTTAAACATCACATGTCTGACTTCATTATTAATCCCATAGAAAATCTCCACAATGTCTTCTACCTGACCGTAGCAATAGATTTCACCTTGTATCGGATTTAGATCTTTTGAACTAGCGTATGACAGTTGCGAGAAGGAGCAGAACACACCGCTATTTTGCGTTTGTCGTCTCTCTTCGAAACCGATGGTGTTAAACCTAAAGACGTTGATACAGTATCCTCCATAACGCTTAACCATGTTAGAAGGACCTCTGGCATATAAACATATTTTCTCAGACAGGTTAACCCCATTCGTAATACGTCGGTC